AAAAGAGGAGATCAAAATGAGTGAAAAAGCATTTTTGCAACTTTGTTTTTAGAGTTTTAAAGCCTTGTAAAAAAATAAAAACGATTTTTGTAATTTTTGGGCTCAAAAAATTTCAATAATCTGACATTCTTTCACAAAAATGCTGATTACTCGGTTATTTTTGTAACAAATACAATGTAAAATTATATATATTCTGAATCAAAATTAAATTATCTTCAAGATAAAATAAGATCCAATTCTATATCTTAAATACTTTTGAAGATATTGAGGCTCAAAGTTGAAACTACCTCAAATTTTGCAAAAGCTTCCAGGCGGATTATCTTGAAAACGAAGCCCTTGGGCTTGGAGTCTTAAATAACCTTTTTTGTAGCCCCTATTAAGAGCTACAATTGGGCAAAAGATTCATGCCAATAACTTCACTGGTTTCCAAAATATGGCTCTTTGAAATATTTGAAAATCAAATTTCCATTCATACATATACCCCTTTGGAAAAATTCGAATTTTTAAATTTCATGGATTTTGCAATTTTTGACCTCACCAATCGAAAGAAGAAATTAAAATTAGTAGAAAAGCATTTTCGGAACTGTCCTTTTTGGGTTTTAAAGCCTTGTTAAAAAATAAAAACGATTTTTGCAATTTTTGGGCTCAAAAAATTTCAATAATCTGACATTCTTTCACAAAATTGCTGATTGCTTGGTTATTATTGTAACAAATACAATGTAAAATTATATATTCTGAATCAGAATTAAATTATCTTCAAGATAAACTAAGATTCAATTCTATATCTTGAATACTTCTGAAGATATTGAGGCTCAAAGTTGAAACTACCTCAAATTTTGCAAAAGCTTCCAGGCGAATTATCTTGAAAACCAAGCCCTTGGGCTTGGAGTCTTAAATAACCTTTTTTGTAGCCCCTATTAAGAGCTACAATTGGGCAAAAGATTCATGCCAATAACTTCACTGGTTTCCAAAATATGGCTCTTTGAAATATTTGAAAATCAAATTTCCATGCATATACCCCTTTGGAAAAATTCGAATTTTTAAATTTTATGGATTTTGCAATTTTTGACTTCACCAATCGAAAGAAGAGGTTAAAATTAGTAGAAAAGCATTTTCGCGACTTTCCTATTTGGGTTTTAAAGCCTTGTTAAAAAATAAAAACGATTTTTGCAATTTTTGGACTCAAAAAATTTCAATAATCTGACATTCTCAGGGCCGGCTCCAGACATTTCGGCGCCCCATGCAAATGGTATTTTTGCCGCCCCTCTCAGGTACCGATCACTTTCCTACTTTCTAGTTCCAGTACTACCCTCAGTACTACCTATTTGCTGAACTTACTTTTGATTTTAATTTTGTTCAGTGTCCTTATATGATATCAGAGCTGTTTCGAGTACAGGCAAAATTTACTCGGGTACCGGGTACAAGTACTTTGCTCAAAATATGTACTCGAGTACAGAGTACAATTACAAATATTCAATACCTAAGTACTCAAAGTAACGAGTACATTTATGAATACATTCCACACAATGCCGCTTGCATATCAATGACGTCTTAAAGTTGTTACGCACCTCCCCTTTTGAACCACCCTTGATCATTTACATAAAAGTCTAATGCCACCTCAGGCCGCAAGCGCTAATGTAGCTGCGCATTAATCACTGCGCATGGGTCACGTCACATCCTAGCCTGGATTAAGGGGGGGGCTAAGGGGGCTGCAGCCCCGGGCCCCGCGATTACTTTTGAAAAATGAACGTTGAGGTGTTGAGGCTTATGCTGGTCAAGGGCCCGTTGGCAAACAGTAAATATGAAATGCACTGGTCTTTCACGTCATATTTCGCAAAATTTCAGCCGAACAATTCAACCTATTTTTACCAAAACACCTTTCCAATCACAGTGGCATGACCAGTTGTAGCGACACCTAGCGGTTGTCCTACTTCATTCTGCAAGCATGCATCAGATACTTGTTACAGGCTAACAGGTTTCTCTTCCGCTACCTGGAAAATTACCTGGAACACTCTTTTTCCCAGAATTTTTGGTGTCAGACGAAAATAGTTGTTTATGCAACAAGTGTGTAAAGTGAACCTTTTTTCACGAATGTGAATTTTGACGACTCATGACATCACATGACTGAAAAAAGGTGCTTTACACACGTACTGCATACAATATTTTTTCTACAACCAATAACATAATATGTGTAAAAAAATAAATTTAGACAAATACTTTACGTACTAGTGCTCGAAGTATTTGCAGTGCGTGAAGTAATTTACCAGAAAAATACTAAATTGACGACAGTGTTGACATCTGTCATTGACATTACCTTACGCCCTAGGGTATGAAGTGAATTACTTTAAGCACTAGTGCGTGAACTGAAATTTTACGTCTTCTGAATAGTACGTAAAGTGAGAACTTTAAGCATGGTAGTAGAAAAAAGATATTTTGACTTATTTTTGTAAAACATGTAGGTACAGCAGTGTCTTCTGTTATATCAGGAATATAGTTTTTTTATATATATTTTTTTGCACTCAATTTATAAACAGGCTAAAGGGCCCCCTAAAACTTCACTAGCCCCGGGCCCCATGGAAGCTTAATCCGGCCATGGTCACATCCCCTTTCACACTTCTGTCCGATTTTCCAGAATTTACTCTCAAACCGCCGGTATAGATATTCACAAATCAAAAATTGAAAAACACATTTTGGTTTACTAAATCAGTTCAGCTATTTTACGGTTTGGTTTGGTTAGCCAGAGTCCAGAGTTTATAAGGGCTCAGAATTTTCAAATCTACGTTCTCAGCCACGTCGTCACAGTGTACAGAAAAGTTCAAGATTTTCGTTTGCAAATCACAACGAACAACAGAACGAATGCTACGCATCTGTACGCTACACAAGAAATGCCAGAAAATTGAAGTCACAGTTTTTACAGAAATCACAAACCAGTCAGAGCGTTTTTGATTGGTGCAAATCGCCAACAACCAGTTTTCTTGTCTGGTTAGTGATTTCTGTGGAAACAGGTCCCAACTTTCCTGGAAATGTACTTGTGGCCAAATAAATATGTACTTAGAGTCAAATAATTTTACTCAGTAACTACAAATGTATTCGAAAACAATGAAAATACCTGGGTATATGTATTCGAGTATAAAAAGATGTACTCGGGTATTTTGAAATTTACTCAGTACAATAAAATGTACCAGGTATTTTTTATATTCTTGAACAGTTCGAGTACAAGTAGGTACAATTACATGATTCACAAAGTATCGTGGCCTGAATACCAAGTAACTCAAAATGTACTTAGAGTGAAGGTGAAAAGTACTTGTACCCGAGTACCGCACAAGTCTGTATGATATATATTATTTTAATGCAACTTACAATTGGCGGTAGCTCTCAAATAATAGTAACATCAAAACATAACCTGCAAATCGCAGATTTTGCCGCCCCGTGCAGGGGCACAGGCTGCACAGGTCCTGGAGCCGGCCTTGGACATTCTTTCACAAAATTGCTGATTACTCGGTTATTATTGTAACAAATATAATGTAAAATTATATATTCTGAATCAGAATTAAATTATCTTCAAGATAAAATAAGATTCAATTCTATATCTTAAATACTTCTGAAGATATTGACGCTCAAAGTTGAAACTTTACCTCAAATTTTGCAAAAGCTTCCAGGCGGATTATCTTGAAAACCAAGCCCTTGGGCTTGGAGTCTTAAATAACCTTTTTTGTAGCCCCTATTAAGAGCTACAATTGGGCAAAAGATTCATGCCAATAACTTCACTGGTTTCCAAAATACGGCTCTTTGAAATATTTGAAAATCCAATTTCCATGCTCTTTGGAAAAATTTGAATTTTGAAATTTTATGGATTTTGCAATTTTTGACTTCACCAATCGAAAGAAGAGGTTAAAATTAGTAGAAAAGCATTTTCGGAACTTTCCTTTTTGGGTTTTAAAGCGTTGTTAAAAAATAAAAACGATTTTTGCAATTTTTGGGCTCAAAAAATTTCAATAATCTGACATTCTTTCACAAAATTGCTGATTGCTCGGTTATTATTGTAACAAATACAATGTAAAATTATATATTCTGAATCAGAATTAAATTATCTTCAAGATAAACTAAGATTCAATTCTATATCTTGAATACTTCTGAAGATATTGAGGCTCAAAGTTGAAACTACCTCAAATTTTGCAAAAGCTTCCAGGCGGATTATCTCGAAAACCAAGCCCTTGGGCTTGGAGTCTTAAATAACCTTTTTTGTAGCCCCTATTAAGAGCTACAATTGGGCAAAAGATTCATGCCAATAGCTTCACTGGTTTCCAAAATATGGCTCTTTGAAATATTTGAAAATCAAATTTCCATGCAATACCCCTTTGGAAAAATTCGAATTTTTCAATTTTATGGATTTAGCAATTTTTGACTTCACCAATCGAAAGAAGAGGTTAAATTTAGTAGAAAAGCATTTTCGGAACTTTCCTTTTTGGGTTTTAAAGCCCTGTTAAAAAATAAAAACGATTTTTGCCATTTTTGGGCTCAAAAAATTTCAATAATCTGACATTTTTTCACAAAATTACTGATTACTCGGTTATTATTATAACAAATATGATCTAAAATTATATATTCTGAATCAGCATTAAATTATCTTCAAGATAAAATAAGATTCAATTCTATATCTTAAATACTTTTGAAGATATTGAGGCTCAAAATTAAAACTTTGTCTCAAATTTTGCAAAAGTTTCCAAGCGGATTATCTTGAAAATGAAGCCCTTGGGCTCAGAGTCTTGAATAACCTTTTTTGAAGCTCTTATTGAGAGCTACAATTACCAGAGTCCCAGCTAGAACCCGAAAAATGAAAATAGAGATAAAAAGTCAAAAAAGTTGACAGAACTTTTTCTGATTATTTTTTCTTGGAATCTGATAATTTTGTTCTCAACACTGATTATGAGCTTAATAATGTTGAAACATTGTCTTCAATACAAACATTTCCAAAATCGCAAATAACTTAAGTTTTTTACCTTGTTGCCATCGTTTGACACCCTCGGAAGATAATAAATAATAACAAACATCCACACCACCGTAAAGGCGAGCATAATCTTAACGTTCCGCCTCATTGTCGTTTCAGACAATTTGAACTTTTTCAGTAGTCAAAAACCGCGACATCGAGCCAATTTTAGCGCCACACTCTTATCATTCCGATATACTTAACTCGCGCAAAAACACTAAAGCTAAGCGCCCACCATGACGATTGCGTTCCGACTTAGTTGGCCGCCGTTCTCTTTTTTCATGTTTGCCTGAACTACTAGTTCTACGATCGGTTTGCTCTCCTTTTTTGTTCTTCTGTAATCGAGCGAGCAATTGAATGAGAGAAGACGCGCCAACTAGAACGGCGTCGGATTATTGAGCGGGGGCGTCGCGGCGCAGAATATCTAATATAATACACTCACGAGTTTGGACTTAGAGGGGTTGAAAAATATCACACATATACTAACTTTAGTTACATTAGTTTAATGAAATAAATGTAAAAATATTTTGCTTCTAGAAAATCAACAGCCGGTAATAATCAAATTTTTAAACAATTCTCGGTACTTGTTTAACAAATCAATCACAATTTCGGTTATTACCGGCTGTTGATTACCTTAAGAAAAATTGTTCAGTCAGAGTATATTTTACCAACACACTTGCTTATCCGAAATAAGCACCCTCAAAGTATTTTTACTAATAAGCCTCATAGCATGAATAGGCGTGCCTGCATTATACAAAACACACAAAATATTATCATTAACTTTAACAGCGTGGCATTTGTGGTACTCAGAGCACCAGTAAGTTTCCAAGCCTTCATTGAATTCATCTAAAGCCAACTTGTCAGTTTTCTGATCTTCGTAGATGTTGTTCTCTTGCCAAGTTTGCGCGTTGGGTATCAGAATATTTATTACTGATTGGTAGAAAAATGTTCTGAGTATGTCTAATCGGTGAGAGCTGCTTGATGTTTTTCTGAAGCTAGTTTGTTGCGGATTTTTGGACATCATATATTTTTTAAGTTTGATGTTTACTAAGAGCAACCTTTAATGGAAATATTGTTAAAATACACTAATAATAAATGAATATTATTATACCCTAAAATTCCATTATCCACTGCAATAGTATAAGGAAAATTTCTTGGACTACATTGTGAAGCCGCCTTTAAAATATCACTAGAATTCTTAAAGCATTGAGTAGCAGATTGTTCAATATCTATTAAAGCAGGTGTAGTGCCGCACAAACAGCAAACTTGTACATCCGAGATGAGGCTACATGCAACAAAACGAAAAGCTACAGTTGGACTTTTATAAGGCAAAAACACTGGAATATCTTTAGAAATGTCCTTATTTTCAGTTACAGCTAGAAAAAGCAGAAGCCTTATTTCATGTGGATGTAGAGACCACCAACTTTCAGTTGCAGCTGCAATTTTTCCATTTATTAATATACAACTGAACATTGAATCCACACATTCACTAAACGAATCTAAAACAATCTATTATATAAGGTAGAATTTAATAAATTAATATTTAATGAAATGTCTTACTTGTATTAGATGATTTTCTGAGCATAAAATTGTCTCAACATATCCTACAATATCAGAGGAATGCTTATTGCTGGAATCTCCGCAATCTAAAGAATCTAAAAGCCTGTCTAATACTGGATAGCATACCTATGGAATTTATTGATACCTATATGTGATTTGTTTCAGTTGTTAAGGTTTAGTTACCCTTAATTCCCTTTTGAGTCGTTCAATGTTTCTTTGAGTTTTGGCTTCTTCTATGCCTACTATCAATACGATGGCGTCATAGATTAGTTTTAGGAGTCTGTTTAGGACGTCTGTTGAACATCCACTGGCTAAACCGATAATAACAAGGCTAGAAAAAAAAAATTAAAATTTACACAGAATTAATTTCAGGATTAGATATAATGAAAGTGTTTTTTGATAGTCAAGTTCATTTTCATTAATTTTATATGGTGGTGTTTTCCACTAGAAAAATTTTAAATTTTAATGTAATGAGCTCCTAATTTTTCTTTTTTTATTCTAAAACTTTCATCATTTTGCAGGTTGATTTTCATGAATTTCCCATGGTGTTGTATTCCAGTAGGAAACTTTGAAATTTCAGTATAATGAGCTTCTAATTTTCCTCTTTTTATCCTGAAAGTTTCATAATTTTCTCTTGAGTGGTTTTCTATAAAAATATTAAAATGTAAGGGATTGCATTTTTGGTTAATTTGGATTTTCATTAGTTTCTTATGTTATGATCTTTTACAGGAAAACTTTGAAATTCTGGTATAATGAGCTCCTTATTTTCCTCTTTTTATCCTGAAAGTTTCATAATTTTCCCTTCAGTGGTATTCGAGAAAAGTATTGAAATGTAGATATGGCATTTTTGCTTGATTTAGATTTTCATTAATTTCTCATGTTCCTATGTTTCACTGAAAATCTTTGAAATTTTAGTATAATGAGCTCCTAACTTTCCTCTTGTCATCCTGAATGTTTCATAATTTTCCCTCTAGTATAGTTTTCCAGAAAAATATTAAAATGTAAGAAATTGCATTTTTGCTTAATTTAGATTTTGCAGGTTGATTTAAACTAGGTACATATCTATAACATCACCCATTATAGCAGCCTACGCTCCATCAGAGGACGAAAGAGTCGCCATTAAGAAGAAGTTCTTTGAGAAATTAAATGAAACCCTAGTAGATATATTGGAAGAAATAGAGAAATCATAATGCTATAGGGGATTTCAATGGAAACACGGGAAGAACGAACCGAACAATAGCCTAGTTGTAGGACTATTTTTAGAGAAGAAATAATCAATGATAATGATAATTCTCCAAGACATAATGTACCTACATAGAGAAGTAGTTGAGATATCTGAAGAAACAGTAAAAAAGACTGTTAAGAGTCTTAAATCAGGTAAAGCTAGCGGTCTAGAAGGAATATACTCAGAAATGCTGAAATGGGGAACTGAGAAGCTCACATGGTCTCACATGTACCTATTATCAATAAATGTCTAAATGAACATCCAGTTCCACTAGACTGGAAAACGCCTTGTGTTTTGAGAAGGGATTTTTAAGACATGCTTGTTTAAAAATGTCTTAGTTCTTAAGACGTCTGAAAGACGTTGGGTTTTGTAATATACAACGTCTTTAAGATGTCTTTGAAAAACATAAGCAATATGCCTTATTCTCTCAAAAAGTCTCTTTCCTGTGAGTATTTTTAATAGTAAAGGCAACTATTAGAGAAAAATACGTATTTTTCTGCTATTTTCATAAGGTTTTTCTATTGATTTATTGATCTAACAAGCTACCCTTAAATAATTAACCTTTTATTAGCTTAATTATTTTTAATTATAAACAAATTAATTCAAATTTGCCGCCATTTATTTTTGTTAGTGGCTATTGCGGATGACCTATTCGATTGGTCAGCTTGGTGCTTATTTAATTTATGATCCTTTTTTATCAGCATATAAAAGAAAAAGACACAAAATGTATTCACTGGTTGATAGATATAGTGAATGGTTCATAGATGGCGCTACCATGGTTTTTTCGAGTTTTCCTAGTCCTCTTCGTGAAAAGGGCGAAGGCGAAAGGGTTTGCCGTTTAAAATGAACAGTAAACAGGTAGTTTTTCGATTTCTAGTCCGTTTAGGGGGTTTTCATCTATTTTCCCCTATTAATTAGTAGTTTTTCCGGTAATTAGTGATCAATTTAATTAGTTAATTAACCTGGCAACTTCGTAAATTGAGAACTTTCGCTTGACACGTACGAGGACAAGTTTAAACGCGTCTTCTGGGGGTAAGTGGCTGTTTTTTCTTGTTATAACTAATTATTTTGAGTTGATTCTTGTTTAAATAACATCTTAGAGACAAGTACTAACGAGTATTTTGGGAAAATTTCAGAATCAAATATGCCCAGAACAGGTAAAGTAACTTGGAACATGGTACCTCCCCCATTCAACTGGAGGGTAAGCAGAAATATTTGTTATTATGGTGTTGGATTGGTACTACATCAACTCAGTTTTATTTTATTTATTGTTTCCCAGTAATTTTGTTATTAGGTATTTTCTTTCTATAAAAATTTACAATATAGGTACACGATTTAGCTGCTAAAACATCGCACCTACCTAAGGTTTGTTATCACAGAAATCACAAACCATCAGTGGGAGCGAATTTGATTGGTTGAAAACTGGCGATTTGCACCAATCAAAAACGCTGTGACTGATTTGTGATTTCTGCAAGAACAGACCAAGAGGTAGATTGCCTGTTGACTTTTATGGCGTCATTGTGTGGTGCCCAAACATAATACAAATCTCCATTATCTCTAATGAAAAAAATCGGACTTTGGTAAATAGGTACCTATCTCGAAATCGGGGCCAAATACAAAGAAACTGAGAACGTCATTGAATTCTGCTTAAAAAATTACGGAAATACTTAATTATTTTCATTAATAAACTAGTGGACAGCTTTACCCTAATTCAAATCTCGATACTTTTGGAAAGGAAAAAGAGATATCGAGTTGCGGTATGTATTATTGAGAGGTGCTTGGCCAATCCATTGAGAACACGTACATATATATACGTATATATTTCTTACATTTATCCACTTATATAGGGTGAGCAAAAGAAATTATATTTCAGATTCTCAATTTTTGATCTTGGAAGTTTTTCTAGGTATAGGTATGCAACTTTTTGATCTTTAAAACTATCCTCAAATTTTTCGAAGGTTGGCTATAATTGAAATTATTGAATTTTTAAAAAAGATGTTAGGTACATTTATTCTTAAAAAAAGTTTTTCGAGGTTTCTTTTGAGAATGGGTATTTTTCTCGACATTTTCTGTTTCTCCGAGCAACTTCAAATTTCAAAGAATTATCAAATGAAATTTCCTTTATTGGAAATCTCAAACCGTTTGTTGGTATATTGCTCAGAATTTGAGTTATGACTTTTTCTAAATTAGATCAATATTTAAAGACAAATTGAATTTTGATAGTCTATTAAACATTTTCCACTTTTCTGAGCAAATTTCAAATAATTGTAAAATGGAACTTCCTCTACTGAAAATCTCAAACTACATGTTGATATATTGCTCAGAATCTGAGTTATGACTCTTTTTCTAAATTAGATCATTTTTCAAAGGCAAATTGGATTTTGCTAGTCTCTCAAACATTTTTTGCTTTTCTGGGTAAAAAAAATAAATAAAAATACACTAGTATATTAATAGCTCATTGGATAGCTCAACTTTTGCTGAATTCAATGATATAAAATTCGATATAGGTTTATCTCTATTATGTCTGTTTTTGTCCTCATAAGAAACAATGTATCAGAAAAGGACTTTGCATCAGAAAGGTTTCTTATGACAAAAACAAATATGATAGACCTTTCTAACTTTATATCATTGAAATCAGCAAAATCAAAACTATTCAATTAGTTTATAATATATAGGGTGTCTCATTTGAAAAACGTATGTTTGGTTCATATAATTCAAAAACTATCACTTTTAGAGAAAAACTGAAAATATCTAGACTATTTCCGATCATTTATGGAAAAACCAAGATACAAGTAGGGGTGTCCCAAAATACAACACCTTCTTGTATCTGAGAAACAATTCTGTTGGCGCCATTTTTCGTTTGACGAAAAAGTAACCAATAATCGCGAAAATCGCAACCGAATTATTCCATATATATGTAGAATCAAAATGGGACACCCTGTACATACAATGATCACAGGGTGAAAACTATTTATTATACTTTCAAGCAAATTTCCAACATAAAAGACAATGGATAATGTATATATTGAATGTATGATGAAGATCTATATACAGGGTGTCCCACAATCAGCGTTACAGGCCATAACTTTCTTATTTTCAAAAATAAAAATTTGAAACAAAAAATTATTATTGGCTAATTAAGCTCTCTTCAAAAATATAGATAAATCATCCCCTGAAAAAATCATCCCCTATTTACAACCCTTGACTTTTTTTTTTTCAAATGGCACCCCGATTATTTTTGAGAATCTTATGAAATTACAAATTTGTATGGTGTATAAAAAGTTTGTTTTTCCATGTCTCTTGGGGAAAAAAAATGGGTGTCCCACCCTTAGTCTTATACAGGCAATCACAAAATGTCTACAAAAATAAAAATATGACAAAAAAAATTAATTGTTTGCAAATTAACCCCTTTTCAAGAATATTAAAAAAATCTTCCCTAACAAACTCATCCCCTAAAAACAACTCTTGCCATTCTTTTCAAATAGAACCCCATTATTATTATTTTCATTTTTGATTTTTTTTTCCAACGAAACATGGAAAAACAAACTTTTCATACATCATTGAATTTGCAATTTCATGAACTTCTCAAAAATAAAAATAAAAATTAGGGGTGCCATTTGAGAAAAAAAAGTAAAGGGTTGTAAATAGGGGATGATTTTGTCAGGGGAAGATTTTTTCATATTTTTAAAAAGAGCTTAACTAGCCATTGGTTAATTTTCTTTTTTCAAATTTTTATTTTTAAAAATAAGATAGTTATGGCCTGTAACGCTGATTGTGGAACACCCTGTATATAGGATGTTTTTGAATAGTGGAATAAAACTTCTAGAATCAATAGTATATAGACTGAGGTGATTGTCTATATGTTGCACCCACACCTATCTCACTTGTTTGAAATCTTAAATGTAAAAGTTATGGGTGATATCAAAAAGTCTTCAATGACATTAGTCACCAGTATACAGGGTGTGTCACAAGCAAGTTAAATTTTTTTCAAATGGAATATTTTGTATATTATTGACCTATTGACTGATAACTGATTAACTAATAAGAAAAACTCCTATAAAATTGTATTTTTCTAGGAAGAAATTCTCATTATAAAAGCGCTGATAAATAAATATTTCTGGGTTCTCATCCATCCAAGCTTATACAGGCACATTATGAAATAGAAAACTCATTAATTTATGAAATAATTAATTATTAAATTTTCATGCGATGGATTATCCTTGAGATAAAATTCTAGAAATCAGTATTTTGTAAAAATTTCAGCATCAAACATGATTAAAAAAAGGTAAGCCTCTTGGACCATGGAACCTCCCCCGACTCAACTGGATGGTAAGCACAATTATTTGATGTTGTACAATAAAATTACCCAATGTATATTCATTCAATTTTTATTTAAAATCTAGCAACAAATTTAACTTTATATTTATCAACTATTATAACAGGTACCAGGCAAATTTTTCCCAGTTAATTTTTCTATTCGATTCGGTATTTTGAAAAAAACATCTTATCAAAAACGACTTAAGGACAGAATATAATATCTTTAGCCTATATAAAGATGTCTTAAAAATGTCTGATGGATTCTGAGCTTTTACAAATACTTTTTCCGAAACATTTCCGAGTTATTCCAGAAGCGTCTGATTGGTTCTATACCTCAATAATTGATAATAGGAAGGTGCTTATCTGAAGTGTTAAAAGATCCTCATTATAATACAGAAGCTGATATACAACTTCTCAATCACCCCAAATTACTTATTACCACGATTTTATCTCAGGAACTATAAATGCGAATAAGATGAAATTTTCAGGGATCGTAGTCCTTTGATTGGGATAAAATTCAGTGAAAGTTTCAGCTTTCTATCTATAATAGAGAAAAAATTATGACCTTTCAAAGTTTTTCAAAATTTAAATTAGATAGATATCTTCCTACTGAAACGCTGAAATTTCAATTTTTTTTTGTCGAGATTTTGTATCCTAATGGTCAATCAATATACTCCAAACTCTATACACTGAATTATTCTCAGATTTGAAGCCGAAATCTTTGAAAAAAAGCACTCAGAAAAATTGATAAATCACCCCAAATTGCTTAATGCGTTTTTATCTCAGAAACTATAAGTGCAAATGAACTGAAATTTTCAGGGATTGTAGTACACTAGTGGAATAAGAATCGCTGAGAATTTCATCTTTCTATCTATGATAGAAAAAAAGTTATGGCTTCTTAAAGTTTTCCAAAATCTAAATCATGAGGTTACTAAAACGATGAAATTTCAATTTTTTTTTTGTCGAAATTTTGTATGCTAATTGTCAATCAACATCCCCCAAATTCCATACATTAAATCATTCTCAGATTTGAAGCCGAAATCTATGAAAAAAGGCACTCAGAAAAATTGAAATAATGATAAATCACCCCAAATTGCTTAACGCGATTTTATCTCAGAAACTATAAGTGCAAATGAGCTGAAATTTTCAAAGATTGTAGTACACTAGTGGAATAAAAATCGCTGAAAATTTCATATTTCTATCTATAATAGAAAAAAAGTTATGATCTCTCAAAGTTTTCCAAAATTTATATCATAAGGTATAGTATTTCCAAACTCAATTGGAACAAGGTACCAATTGGTGGCTGACTAGTCACTGAAAATTTCCATAAGAAATGCACTGTCACTAGTCAGCCACCAGTCATAATTTATGTTCACCTTGTTCCAATTAACTTTGGAAAAACTATACCTACCTTCTTACTAAAACGATGAAATTTCAATTTTTTTTTTGTCAAGATTTTGTATCCTAATGGTCAATTAACATCCCACAAACTCCATACACTGAATTATTCTCAGATTTAAAGCCGAAATCTATGAAAAAAGGCACTCAGAAAATTTTAAATATTGATAAATCACTCCAAATTGCTTAACACGATTTTATCTCAGGAACTATAAGTGCAAATGAGCTGAAATTTTCAGGGATTGTAGTCCACTAGTGGAATAATAAAAGAAAAATTTACCGAAGATATGGGCAATTGTTCATGACCATGTCAAGATTTTGAAAGTTTTTCACAGCCAAAATTGGATTTTCTTTTTATTTTTTGTTTCTGCTTGAAATAGCCATTTAATATTGATGTCAACACTCTAGAATCTCCAGAAATATTTTGAAACTGAAACTTAAAATTCAGATTAAAAGTAGGTAATACAAAACGCCTTTCAGAAGGTTTTAGAATTAGTGCAGAGCGCCTAGCGCCTGGAATAGACAAAAAAATGTCTTTTTTAGGTGTCCCCACTACGTCTGAACGTCTGGAAAACCGAAAAGACATATCCTAAAGACAACTATTTGGTACAACCATAGGCCTTAAGGTGTTTATGTAGGTATTGAGAAGAGATTCAAAGACGTTTTCAAGACATCTTGGTCAAGAATGTTTTAAAAATGTCTTAAGGCCATATTCTCCGTAGTTCATAAAGCCTGTGGCTTAGAGGAAAAGCTCGGCGTCCCACAAAAAGCCAAGTATTTCCACTGAGCCAGGCTTTATATTATGAACTACGGAGAATATAGCCCCTAGTCCTTTTCATCCTGAAAGTTTCATGATTTTCTCTCCAGTAGTTCTCGAGAAAAATATTAAAATGTAAGAGATTGCATTTTCATTTAATTTGGATTTTGCAAATTCATTTTCATTAATTTCCCATGATGTGTTTTTCAGTGGAAAACTTTGAAATTTCAGTATAATGAGCTAATATTCCTCTTCTCTTCCTAAAAGTTTCATAATTTTCCCTTTGGTAGTTTCCCAGAAAAATATTAAAATGTAAGAAATTGCATTACTTAAGTTTTGTTTAATTAAGAAGTTGATTTTCATTAATTTCTAAAATGTGGTTCTTCAAATTTGGATTTAAAAGATTAATTAATAAAATCAACTAAAAAGTGTAACACACGATAAGAGTTGGTTTATTGATGCCCAGTTAAGCTATTACCACAATTTACAATGTTCTTTCTCTTTCAGATAAAACTTCACTGTGCCTATAACTGGAGCATCAAAAACCTCCTGTTAAGTTATGTTATTTGAGTTTTACAAGTATCTATTCCTGTTAAGAAATAGTCTTGTATTAATCTGGCCCTTAGTAGTGTCAATCAACGGTAATATGTATAAAGCATTACAAAACCAATTAACTATTGTCTTAAGTAAGTTTTTCCATACCTATCATTGAATTCTTTCCAAGCCACCACATAATCATCAGTCAATGTGTTCAACAATTCAATATTCAAGGGTTTACCGAACATATGAACCCCATTGAGTGATCCCAAAGCAGAAAACGATAGCTAAAATACCATTAATTATAACATTAATGACTGAAAATATTGCTAAGAAACTTACACTATCACAATTGCCCTTTTTTCTTGAGAAAACTGGCAATCCTGAACCTGAGGTGATTCCCATAATATAAGCCGACATTTTAGTTAATATTTTACAGCTAAAAAAATATCCCCATAATAATAATACAAACAACCATCTGTGAAACCTACCAAAGAAGTGGTACAGTACCTACCAGTGATTCTGGTGCCATCTATGTGAATTCTGCTAAACTTTCTAGTACCTTATATAGTAGAAAACTACCAATAAAAATTCTAATATTCTTATTAACAAAAAGTTTATTTCCTTTTTAATCCTACAACTTAAAATCTGTCTTTTTTGTTTTCTTTTGGGCCTTTTTAATTTTTTCTTTCAAAGCAGCTATATCTATTTTATTGGTGCTTGCTTTAGAAGTTGAAGGTTGCGGTTCTTCAGGAGGTATAAAGGCCTCGTTTCGTTTTTCTTCACGTCTTTTTGCAGCTTCAACGTGTTTGTCATCTTTTTCTTTTCGCTTCTTTGCCTTGCGCTCTTCTTTGTTCAAGAAGTATTCGCCAGTTTCTAGTTGTTTGTCAATCTAAAAATTATATATATCATTAGAAAGAGTATTAAATTCTCTATGAAATTGTTTCTGAAAACTCGAATACATATTTACCTTGCTTTCTGGTTGTTTAGGTGGGAATGGTGTATAAGGTTTTTTCTCCTTATTCTTTTTAGGTTGCTTCTTTTTAGTAGTATTCTTATTGACGAATTTAGGCAAAAACCTTTCCCAATTTTCATTTTTCAATTTAGGATCCTTCATCAATTCCCTTTTAATCATTAAAGCCTTGATATTATAAATAGGATGTACGTTTTTCATTGTATCCTCAACAATTTTTCTTACTTGTTGAAGGCCCTTATAAGGCCCTAGGGCTGAAACAGTGTTGCCTTGTACAAGAATGTAGCAGTTTGATAAAAGTTCAATTGATTTTAGGGTGCAACCGTTTGGGCCTATCAATCGCTGGCGCCTTTTAACAAACTTTTCCCTATTTCTAGTGATTTTTCCTATTTTTATTATATCACATCCAACATCATCTTCCAAAACCCTTTTAGCTTGCTCAAAAGGTACACTCCTGGACATAAGCTTAATCATGTCTCGGGCTTTCAAGATTATGTACGGATCCCAAGTTTTTCTTGTTGTTTTTACACACATACTACCTTCAATTAAGTCTAATTCAGCTTTCACATTGTATTCGTTTAGGGTTTTTTGAACCAAGGGCCAAATTTGCTTCAAATATTGCTCTCTGTATTGGGGAAAAAGGGTGGCAAAGGAACTTTCCTCTAGGAGCCCGTGCGGATTGTGTTCCTGTTTGAATTCGGGGATTTTCATCGTCCAGGCATTTTCTATTGGGCCTGACGGGGTTTCTTGTTCGTCGTCACTCGAATTAGACATTTTTTAATGCTATAATTACTAAAAATAACACTAAAAACTAATCAGTAACATGCTGTTGAAATCAAAACAAAAAAGTTTGGTTATGTTTTTTAGTAGCCAAATCTACAGGCATTAGAAATTGAGTTCACTGATAGCTATTTATTTGTAATAGGAGAGAGTGAGACAAGCATATGATAGGATATATTGCAACCAAAAAAAGACTCAAAATTAATAGATTTGCGTTTATCACGCTAAGATAAAATTATCCACTAATATAATGCGAATTATTAAAATAAATATTTGAAGTACATACTTTTCTTTTGTTATTCTAGTACTAGTAATTGTTATCTGTAATTATCATTATATTTGTTTTAATAATTATTTTTTTCAATAAGTATATAATGTATGCAATTGTTCAATGGTTGTATTTTAATAGTTAGGTGAGCCAAAATTGGGGAATACCCATTTCCCTGCGTTGTGTAAGTAAAAACTTTTCATGTTTTGTAATTTTGTGGTTTTAAACTAGTGCAACGGCCGCCAGTGTGTCAAGAATCGCATAGCAGATTCGAGATTTTACGTGATGTTCGGGAACAACGTCGATCGCGGTTCTTCTGGAATTTGCAGGAATAAATTACGGCTATATGTATATAAGGACGGGTTTTAGCTTGTAAGTTTAAGTTAAAGTTTGACTGTGATCAGTGTTGCCAGATCTCACTAAATAATGAATAAGCCTGGAATCGAGTTGGTAGGTACAGTTATTTTACAAGTAGTGCGCGCCATTTTGTTTACTTGCCAGAGATGTTATTTATTGAAAAATTTACTTTCGACGCCATTACCACCATTTTGTTTACCTACGGTTTGTCCCACTTAAGGACTGACCACCCTGCTAAAATTTTAAATTTTTAACCGATTCAATTCTTATTAGGCTCATAATTTTATTTTTGCCGCTGTACTCTTGTACAGGGTGTCCACATTTATAGGCTCAAATTTCAATTAGTACTATTAGGGGTTATTTCTTAGAAAAAATCTGATAGGAAATTCTTATTTAGAATAGTCTAAAACCCAAATATATTAATTTTTGTTCCAATACAATACAGGGTGATCACAACAAATTTTAAAAATTTAATGGACCAAACCGCAAAAAAGTCATATTCCCAAAATATGACATTTTTGCAGTTTAATAATTGATTGAGATTTGAAAATTTGTTGTGATCACCCTGTATCGTATTGAAATAAAAATTTGTTTATTTGGGTTTTAGACCATTCTAAACAAGAATTTGCTATCAGATTTCCGTAGAAAAATCCCTAATACCTAATGTGGACACCCCGTACACCAGTACAGCCGCAGGAATAAAATTATAGCCTAATAGGTGCCAAATTCAAAAAAAAAAATAAAAATTGAATTGGTTAAAAGATGAAAATTTTGGAAGAAGGGTCAGTTTTTAAGCGGAACACACTGTATAAAAAATTTAAAAGGGGGGCAAGTTGGGGATAGTAGTGTATGCCCTATGTCAAATTTGTCATGCCCTATCACAAATTTGACTCTAGCTACGGCCCTGAACGTCGATCGCGGTTCTTCTGGAATTTACAGGAATAAATTACGGCTATATATGTATAAGGATGGGGTTTAGCTTGTAAGTTCAAGTTTCAGTTCGACTGTGATGTAATTTAAATAGTGATTATTGTTGCGAGTTGTAAGAGTTTAATTGTTGAGTTAGTTATTAAAGTAATTAGTGTCAGAGTGTATGTTAAATGGAATAAATTATTGCTGTGTTAATTATTGGACTTTGATTTTTGGAATAAACGAAGCGAACCCAAGATTTCTGTCAGGCAATACAAAGCCGGGACAATTGGTGTCAGAAGTGAGACATAAAGGACTGCAGAGTGAAATCCAATTGCGGAAGTGCGGGGACACTAGTGTAGTGTAAAAACTGAACACTTGGTGAACTGAACTGAACACTGGGGCAATTATTCAGTGCAAACAGTGACAATCGCAAAAAGAGACTTAACCAATCGTGTAAATTACTCCGGAAGTGACTCATACCCGATTTTGACTGTGATAGTGAATCTTCGAGTGAGCTCTAGAAAATTTTATTTGGAAACTAATAGGCTAGTAAAACTAGGTGGGCAACCCTAAACAAATTCGCTACAAGCACAAGCTGATTTTTGCGCCATTCCGTTCCTTTTAGTGTTTTTCATAATTGGTTAAAAATCCGATAGGGGGCGCAACCCCAAAACCACCCCCAAAGGTACATTTTTTAGGTTTGTTGGAATTTTCTCAAAAATGGTAGGTTTAAACAAAAAAGTACAAGGCACGTTTTTTGTAGAGTACAAAATTTCGAATCAAATGGTATACCTATTTGTATTATTTAAAAAAGTTTTAGTGTTGATACAGGCCTTAGAATTTAACAGTTATTTATTTTAGTGACAAACACCAATAAAATATTTCATTTTTGTTATGAATCATTTGTTATATAGTCAACTTTGAGAAAAAATACGTATAAACTATGTAATGAATTCTTAATACATCTCAAATATCAGCGGACTAACATGTTAAAATCAATATCAATTACCGGCGCAGGGGAGGGGAGCATCAGGATCAGAACGCGACATCTTTTTAAGATGCGGTGACTCGGTTCAGTGTTCTATGTTCATTCGAGTCTACTCATTCTTTTTATAGTTCAAAATTCATTGTTCGAATATTTCCGGTTATTGATTGGTTCTAAAATTCAATTTTTCAATTTTCTCGGTTTTTGATTGGCTTAAAAATTCAATATTTGTAGATCCTGGCTCTTAATTTTGCTTTGAAATTCAATTTTCAAATATTCCCGGCTCTTGATTGGCTTAGTTTGACGTTTTAAAATTCAATGTTCGAATATTTCCGATTCTTAATTGGCTTAAAATAGTATATTTCCTAACTAGTGCGGAAAGTACCACTTTTCCGCACGAGTTAGGAACGTACCTAATTAATGTAAATTTTAAGACGAATATTTAACAACATCTCTTTTGCAACACTTGATATTAAAAACAAATCGAGTAATTTTTTCTTCTTCTCTCAGGTTACTCTTACAAATAAAAGGTAGTGAAAATTTATTGATTTAATAATAAAAAAAAACTAATTCTGGAATAATGTTCCTTGTTCTGAAGACAATAAAATCGAGAACTTTCTACAATAATTTGTACGTTTGATGTAGGTATAGGCTTTTTACGTTATATTTAGGATGACGTCACATTTAGTAAATTTCTGCTGCCAACCGAACAAAACTAAAAGTACTTTTCAACGCATTTAAAGTAGGGCAATTTCAGATGTTTTTGGTTGGTAACGGCGCGCGACGTTGCATGATTTATATAAACATTTCCAAATAATGCGTGTCGATTCATTTCGTTATTTTAAGCTGTCAGTCATCTTGATAATTTATTATTAACTATTTTGTATAATTCTAATTAAGTGCCAAAAATACGTTACAGTTAGAAAAAAGTTCTTTCAAGTATTCAGTACTTCCTCGTAGCGTAAACTTACTCCAAATGCCAGCAGGTTTGTCGGAGTCGGCCTCAGGAAAGGGTCAGTATACTTAATAACGTATTTCCAGCCGGAACGCGACCATTTTTGCTTCTTACTGCTGCGAGGCATGTAAGTAAATTACCTATTTTCCGTTTCGTTTGACAGAAAAGACCTATCTATTTTTACCTGCTATGCGCGCGCAACATGAGGTAAGTCTTTTTATTAGCTAACTAGTACAGGTGTGAAGTCTTCGTTTTGCACGCTGGACATCTTCTTGTCCTTGTTCATTGCTCGTGGTCTGACAAAAATAAAAGTACGGTTGATATTCAACTTGACATAGCTTGACAAGTGACACTCAAAAGAAGTTTGAAATTTTCATTGATAAATATACGTTGCAAAACACGCGGTTTTTCTCTTTTTACTAGGTCACGAGCGCGCTTCGCGCTCTTTTTTTTAAATCAAGTCCATCAAAATAATTATAAAATGGAAAATATTTATTAGGTGTTGTACAAAAAACAGCATAATTTTTGTTTTAAATGTACACTATACATTAAATGTAACAGTGAGATAAGTTGTATAGATGTTATTTTAGTGAAGAAATTTCAAATGCGATGGATGGAGTTGGTGACGAATTATTTTTGTATGGTATATCATAATGATTTTAAATCGATCACATTTCTTGAATGTACGGTGTGCGTATGTCTACTTATCTCATTCTGTTTTATGGAACTCGTAGGTATACATTTTTCGAAGTGGTTTAATTAAAACAGAATAATCATAACCATAATCAAGGTGTTATTATAAACCGAGTTATTAACTATTTGTGTGCTGTGGTATAATACGAGATATCGAGTCTTAATTTTTTTTTTTACATTTTCATGAAGTTACATACATACCTAGATTCTTCTATTGGACCTCGAAAAAATATTAAACCACTTCCTTGCTTTGAATCTTTGAAAAACAACCATCTACAGAGCAATATCTAATAGCACAGCTAATAGACATATTGTCAGAGAATTGTCACATAAATAAAAAATTCACAGTCCTTCGCAAAAATGCAACCGAGGAGAACATTGAAAATGCCGAAGCAAACTTCAACGCTAATGCTTGTGATTATTGTGAGCTTTGAGATCCGCTAAAATTCAACCCTTTCCAGATTTTCCAGAATTTTTCCGACCCAATCCAGAAATTTCCATGCGTTTTCCAGACGTTTCCAGAAATTTCCAGACTTTATCCAGATTTTTCCAGACTTAGCTAGACTTTATTCAGACTTGTTTAAATTTCTCCAGACCGTATCAACCTTTTTCCAGACGTTTCCAGAAATTTCCAGACTTTCCCAGACTTTATCCAGACTTTTATAGACTTAGCTGGATTTTTCCAAACTTTATCCAGACTTGTCTAGATTTCTCCAGACCTAATAGAGCCTTTTCCAGACGTTTCTAGAAATTTTCTGGCTTTTCCAGACTATATCCAAACGTATCCAGACTTTTCCAGATTAAGCTAGACTTTATCCAGACTTGTCTAGATTTCTCCAGACCTTATCCAGCCCTTTCCTGACCTCTCCGACTTCTTCCAAACAATTTCCCGACTTCAAATACACTTTTCCTTACTTTATCCA